TAACTAATTAAGATTAAGTTGATTTTGTGTTATATTATTTTTTGTAACAAATTTCGTCATATAATACACAAAAATTTATCAAATTTTTATTGGTTCAGTCATTTAAATAATTCTATGATTGAATATTAATCAAAAAATATAATTTTTATTTTTTGGACTGGTTCAGGACCAAGTCTCAAATTTAGGACCTGGTCCTAATAGGACCCTTATACAAGATCAGGGTCTGATGGTCTAGGACCCAGACTTTAACAACCCTATGGACAAACACGCAACCTTTCCTATGTGAGCACGCAACCTTTCCCACTGCCAGCACGCGACCAGCAGGGTAGTTGGTGAGTACAGATACTAATATACTATTTACGATACTGCTCACCAACAAGCACGCAACCTTTCCCACTACCAGCACACGACCAGCAGAGTAGACAGTGGCAGTATAACCTAAATAAAATATATTTACCTGGAATTTCCTTAATATTCATTGCACAAATTACCTAATTTTTGACGCTTCAGCATGATATTTGAGAATGGTGTTTAGTTCACCCTTGTACTGACTGTGCTCCATTTTCTCTTGTTCAAAATCGCCTTCGAGTAAATGGAAATTCAAGAAATTCTTAAGTGAAGGTTTCTCCGATTGCTCCCAAAAAGCTATATATTTTCACGAATGACAGGTTAAGATATCAAGACAGTCAAAAAAGATCATTCCTGTATTTGCCTTACCACGGTATTTGAGAGCAATTGCAGTTTTACTTCTTACGTTGTCGCGAAAAAATAATCTAAATAATTATTATATATCCACAAAAGATTAAATATATAATTTGCAAATTATTTTCTAATTATTTGCAAATAATTTGCAAATTGTATAAATAATATGAAATTTGCATATCTGAAATAAAACAAAAATTTTTTTAATTTTTATATTTTAATTCTTTATATAATATTAATATTTTATTTAATAAGTAAAACTAATTATATATTAAAAAATTATATTCTTTATATATAGCAAAATTCCTATTATCTTATAACTAAAAATTATTATTTAGAATGAATATTCTTAACAAATGACATATTTTTCTTTAAAAACATAAGTTTATTAAATAATTTCAAATTTAAGCGTATTCTTTTAGCAGTTAAAAAGTTTCTAGCATAACTAAATAATTTTTCTCTTAGAATTAAAGTTGCTGATACAGGAAGATACCTTTGGGCTAACTTTGAAAATTTGAAAATTATTACTTATATTTATATACTAAATAAAAATAAATAGATATTCATTTTTGATAAAGATAAATAAGTAATTATTTCATTTTCATATTTTAAGAAATGCTATTCAAAGATTAAAAATAAAGATTTTTTGCCAAAGTGTGTTGATAAAAAGTGATAGATATTTGATAGATATTCTTTAATAAGAAATCACATTTAAGTTCATTATACTTTTTTTTAATAATTCTTTACTTTATTACAGACTTCCTTATTATTAATAAAATTGAGAGACTTAATCTTAGGATCAAGTAATACCAAAATGAGAATTTCTGTTTTTTCTTAATTCCAATATAATTTTATTAGATTATACAAATCAAGCTTTAATTTTTTTCAGTATATAGTCAACTCTTGATATAGCGAATTCTTAATATAATAAATTTTTGAACAAATATAATAAAAATATTCTTGATATAGTGAATTAGCCAATTAAATCTCTTAAAATCTTCACTATAGCCTTATAATAAAGTTAAAGTCTAGGATATAGAGTTCGTTATAATAAAAGTTGACCGTATTTTAAAATTTCAATGACTTATTTATATTTAACCTTCTTTCTAATGTATTTTACATATTTTTTACTAGTTGATCTTCTTTTTTATTTCCTTAAAAACATTAGAAATTTCTTTTATATCACATTTATATTGGTTTGTAATCTTGATTTTATTCATTTTTTAACTTCCTTTAATATTAGATTTATTATACTATAGTTAAATATTTACCTCTTCCTAATTGTTCTATAATATCAGCAAATTTTTCTAAATCTTCATATAATCCACTTAATAATTTCCATTCATCATAATTTCAACTAATTGATTATGATCTCATTTTGAATCAATATTATTGACAATTAATAATATTATTATCAGAATATCAATATATGGTTTAATTTCTAATAATCTTATTTAAGGTTGTAATATTTGTAATGCAATATCGTAAGTATATACTTGTTTTATCTAGATTCTAAAAAATATATTTAATAGTTTTTATAAAGTATAATACTAGATACTTAAAATATTTAATATCTGTTTTGAATAGATATTTGAATATTTTCTAACTTTTCTAATTGTTTAGGTCTTATAAAAAAATTAATTAGCTGTTTTATTCTTAAAATAAGTAGTTTTACATATGCAAGTTCTTTTCTAACAACTAATTATAAAATATAAGCAGTGCAAAACTGCTAGGTAATATTTAAAGAGATAGAATTCATATTTTATATTGTCTTCTTTATGTTTAGACCATTGTCTATAACAATTATATTAATTTTTTCTCTTAATATTCATTGATCTAAAATTGCTAATATGTTCAGTAATATATGAATAACAAACATAAGTAATTGTAAGAATAAACTTATAAAGTTAGAATATTTTATCTAAAAAGTAATATATAATTTCAATATAATTCTGTCTATTTTACACAATTCATAGGTCAGTGATTATATTAACCAAAATTATATAATTTTAAATATATTTTATAATTAGAAGAAGTATCTGTTCATATGTCTGATAAATAATTTGTTTTATTAATTTGTTATTAAATACAATAAAAGTAGGATCTAGGTCATATAAGAGTTTCTAAAACTTTTTATTTTGAATAACTTTAAATGAAATTAAATCATCAATAAGCCAATTAACAAGTAATTGGTATAATTTTTGCTTTTTTGCATCTTTATATAATCTTGCAGTTTTTGTATTGATAATATTAATTTGAATCTTTTATAAGCAAATATTAATTATAATTTATTTTAATTTAATAAAAAATATATGAACATATCAGTCTTTCTTTCACTTTTGTATTTTCAGTAATTTGACACGTTTTAACAAAGATTATTTATTAAATTTCTACTTAAATAACATCATCTACATATCTTTTTATCAGTTATTTTAACTGAACATTTAGCACCAATTTTTTTATTATTAAGCAGTATTGGATCATACCACTATCACATATAACTTTTATACTTGTTTTTTTATTAAGTGTTTTTATTTTTTTAACAATGTTTCTGATGTTATATTTTTAGACTGTTTATTTGAAGATTAATAAAAGGTTTAATTGTATCAGAAGATTCAGTTACATTAAAACCTCTTTTAATATCATATTACTTAACAGTGTAAGTGGGTTGATTTTCTAAGCCATTATTTAATTTTGATAGAAGTTAATAAAAAATTTTTTGTTATATGTAAGAATATTTATTTTAAAGATTACACAATCATATGATATAATAAAAATTTCTGATTTTAGTTTTAGATTGCAAGTATTTCTAAAATAGATTAAAAGTATGATAAAATCAATCATAACATAAATATATCACAATAAATTACAATTCTCGAAAAAAGTAATCAGAATTACAAAAAATGTAATAAATAAAATCTAATGATTAAAATTACTTTAAATTTTGCATATTTGTTGTCAAATATGTAAATATTGTGCATACATAATTTCAGCTATTTATCCATTTCCATGTCACATAATCATCCTTTAAGTCAAAAAAAAATATTGTTAAATATTTAAGTAGTAAAAACCTG